AGCCTGAAGGACATCAACTGGGACAGCTCACAGTGGCAACCGCTGATCCAGGACCGCTGCTTTCTGTCCTGGCTGGTGAAGATCCCATCGGAGCAGGAGCAGCTCCGAGCCCGTCAGATCACCGCCCAGCAGATCAACAAGTTGGAGGAGCTCTGGAAGGTACGCGGCTGTTAGGCTGGGAGGCTTTTTCTTAGGGGGCTACATGTTCAGAGCAACGTTGCTTTAAGCTGCAAGCACAGGTTAAAGGTTTGTAAGTGACAGCTGCTTACAGGGATTGGTATCCACCTGTGGCATAACGGTTTTAAACGACATCTGCCAATATTTAGTGAAGTTTGTGTGTGTGTGTGTGGAATAGGAGTTTGGGTTGGATGTGTGATGTGCTCTGTACTTTGTTTCCTCCCAGGACAACCCCAGTGCCACCTTGGAAGACCTGGAGAAACCGGGAGTGGACGAGGAGCCCCAGCATGTGCTGCTGCGTTATGAGGACGCCTACCAGTACCAAAACATCTTTGGCCCTTTGGTCAAACTGGAGGCTGACTACGATAAGAAGCTTAAGGAGTCCCAGGTACCTGAACTTCACTTCTAAGTAGGAAACTTTGTGACTCAGACTCTGGTGTTTTTCTTTCTTAAATGTCCATCATTATTTATACGTAGAGCAGTTTTCACGTGACATAAAAACATCCATTATTATATAGTTTCATATGTACATATGTCACACTGGACACCATGATACATGAACATGATGTAACTTACATCTTTGACCCTTTGTTATTGTTTGATTATATATTTATATTTCTTATTTTCCCTTTGCAGACCCAAGACAATATAACAGTCAGGTGGGACCTGGGGCTGAATAAAAAGCGGATTGCCTATTTCACACTGCCCAAGACGGATTCAGGTGGTAATTCTCTGAGTTTGACTTCCTCCCAGTGGTTCTGTGGTGCAGATAGAACCCCTCCCCATCCCCCATCAGTCCTCAAAATTGCACGCAACCTCCCCTAACCCTGCATCTTTTGGTGGCATGTGTGCTTGGTATTGTTTTTGCCTCTGTTTTTGTAGTGGGGTTTTGTGCCATTTTGTGCGTGCACGGTATTGTATCATCTAATTCATAAACATACCCCATCCTCCTTAGTTTATTTGTGGGTAATTTTTTCAGCATCGGACGGGTTCTAACTTAAGTCCTTTCATATCAATGTCAGATATGCGGCTGATGCAAGGTGACGAGATCTGCTTGCGGTACAAAGGAGACCTGGCCCCGCTGTGGAAAGGCATCGGCCATGTCATCAAAGTCCCTGACAGTATCCTTTAAACTGTTTGCATATGTTTCATACATTTCATTACAGTGTCTCCACATCTGACTCATCACATTGGCAGTGAACAGTCTTAACTATAAAAGACTAATATAGACAACACAGTTCCACCCACATCCACCTACTAGAAATAATCTAAGGATAATGCTGGATTTCCTTAACAGCCTGTGTTTAAAGACTACGGCGATGAAATTGCCATCGAGTTGCGGAGCAGTGTTGGAGCCCCTGTGGAAATCCCCCACAACTTCCAGGTGGACTTTGTGTGGAAGTCAACTTCCTTTGACAGGTAGGCTGACATTTTATACCTCTAAATGACAAATGTGTAGGGAACATTAGTCATTTAGAGGTAGGGAACATTACTCATCTCTGAAGTCACCATATTACTCCACAGCGCACAGAATTGTTTACATGGAGGTCATTTTGAATGAATCTGCCGTGTGTCATTTGTAAAGTAAAGATAGGATGGTTTCCTCATGATAGTAAGAAGTGATAATGACTCACATTTATATATGTGTTGCTGCAGGATGCAGAGCGCCCTGAAGACGTTTGCAGTGGATGAGACCTCCGTGTCTGGTTACATTTACCACAAATTGCTGGGACACGAGGTAGAGGATGTCACCATTAAGTGCCAGCTGCCAAAGCGCTTCACTGCCCAGGGCCTGCCCGACCTCAATCACTCACAGGTCAGACCTCACTAATCACTGGGTCCTCAGGATTCCTGTTATTATTTTGTCTTCAAGACATTAACACCAGTGCAGTAAAAACGTATGAGTTCACATCACATCAGTATAGCTCACCTATTTTTAACAGATTTAAAGTCAAAGGAAGTGTTTGACTTCCATTAAATAGCCTTTTTTTCATGATAAAAATGTGTTATTTGTCTTGTGAATGTGGGATTTGGATCTCATTATTGCAAGTGGTTTTAAGAAAGGTTTGATGTCTGTATTTCTTGTAACACTTTACCTGCACTGAATCCTCTGGTTTTGTTGTTCAGGTGTATGCTGTAAAGACGGTGCTACAGAGGCCCCTCAGTCTGATCCAGGGTCCTCCTGGCACTGGGAAAACTGTCACCTCTGCCACTATTGTCTACCACCTGTCCCGCCAAGGCAACGGGTAATACACGAAGAGTGTTATAGTTACCTTCTTAAAGAACACTAATGTTATACATTGTGTTTATTGTTGTTTAATTGTTTGTGTGTGTACGTTTGCAGACCAGTCCTGGTGTGTGCTCCCAGTAACATTGCTGTGGATCAGCTGACAGAGAAGATTGACAAGACTGGACTGAAGGTCGTCAGGCTGTGTGCCAAGAGCCGGGAGGCCATCGAGTCACCAGTGTCCTTCCTGGCTCTGCACAACCAGATCAGCAACATGGACAGGTCAGTGGAACTTCAAAAGTTATTGATGATTTCTTGCTGCTCTGAACACACAGACAAATATTCCAGCAATATTTGTCCGTACATCCATGGGTACACTGCAGAATCGAACAGCAAATAGATAATTCTGCATATTTCTCCTGGTGAAAAGTTTGTCAAAAGTTAAACAAATATTGGCTGATGTAATGGAGCTCAGATTTTGAGCTAATTGACTGATTCAATAGCAACATTATCCTGTTTACATCCCCAAAGTTCTCAAGTTATGGGAACTTAACTTCCAAAAGGGGCTACAGTAAAAAAAAAAAAAGTACACAAATTATCTTAGTAGTGTATAACTCTGGTATGTGTTCTCTGTAGTCACCCTGTTGTGTCTTTGTCTCCTCAGCATGCCAGAGCTGCAGAAGCTTCAGCAGCTGAAGGATGAGACTGGTGAGCTGTCGTCTGCTGATGAAAAACGCTACAGGGCTTTGAAACGCACTGCTGAGAGGGAGCTGCTCATGGTGAGGAGGAACTTTAAAGCGTTGGGGAAAGCATGGGATGTTCTGAAAATGTCACGTGTACACAATGAGAAAGACAACTCTTCAGCCACGGTGATGTCCTGGCTCACTCTTCCATTGGAGCATTGCAAATTAACTTCCTCTTTGTTGTCCAGAATGCTGATGTCATCTGTTGTACCTGCGTCGGGGCTGGTGATCCTCGTCTGGCCAAGATGCAGTTCCGCTCCATCCTGATTGATGAGAGCACTCAGGCCACTGAGCCAGAGTGTATGGTGCCTGTGGTGCTGGGAGCCAAGCAGGTACACATGTACACCACACGGCTCAATAACAAATCTGTCTCTACAGCTGAATGAAATATCAGTTGGCAAAAGTATTTGTCCTGAACACGCAGGAACAAAAACGTCTTAACATTGTGTTGTTAAATTAATTGTCTCACTTGTGTTCGTCATCTTCCTCCTCCTAGCTCATCCTGGTGGGTGATCACTGCCAGTTGGGTCCGGTGGTAATGTGTAAGAAGGCAGCCAAAGCAGGTCTGTCCCAGTCCCTGTTTGAACGCTTGGTGGTTCTAGGGATCCGGCCAATCCGCCTGCAGGTCCAGTACCGCATGCACCCGGCTCTCAGTGCCTTCCCCTCCAACATTTTCTACGAGGGCTCCCTGCAGAATGGCGTCACTGCAGGTTTGTCAGCACTCAGCAGTTCATTATCTGGTGTGATGGAGGGATAAATTGATTTTCGCTGTGGCTGGAACATTAGCAGGTAAAAAGGTATAATGAAATCTTCTTGTTCTCCCCAGCTGACCGCATCAAGAAAGGCTTTGACTTCCAGTGGCCTCAGCCGGACAAGCCCATGTTCTTCTACGTGACTCAGGGTCAGGAGGAGATTGCCAGCTCTGGAACCTCGTACCTTAACAGGTAATATCACACATTTTCTTGGGTTACGTATATTGGATGGACGAATAAATCCATCGATATTTATGAATGGATACATTGTGGACTGGAGGAGACTTCCACCACAGATGGAAAATGAATCTGGTGCACTTGTGTATTTCATCTTGACAAATTGGTGTTTTATTTGCAGCTTTAGCAAATAAAATAATCCAGATGGCACCATAAACATCATTTGAATATTTAAGCCTCCATTAGTCTACTCCTATTAGCATCAGATGTATTTTTCAAGTAGTAGCAGGACAGTATTTAACTGATGCTGATGTTTTTAAGGACGGAGGCGGCCAACGTGGAGAAGATCACCACAAGGCTGCTGAAAGCCGGAGCCAAACCCGACCAGATCGGCATCATCACCCCGTACGAGGGTCAGCGCTCTTACCTGGTCCAGTACATGCAGTTCAGTGGCTCCCTGCACACCAAACTCTACCAGGTAACCTTACAGATGTACACAGAGATAATTTATAAACTTAATTTTATCTTTTGTATCAGTACTTTGTACATTTAAAATAGTGTTAACTGAGCAAAGATTTAGTAGTTGGGGGGTTATTTTGTTTGTTTGTTTGTCCTTCCCACAGAACAGACGAAGAAATCTCATTCAAATTGATTGTAGACCTCAATTATCACTAGTGATGTTGGACACAATTTGTTCCTTCATTTTTACAATGTAATTTCCCCCTCATTCTCCTCTTTTCCTATTCCATTATAGCAAGTGGAAATTGCCAGCGTGGATGCCTTCCAGGGCAGAGAGAAAGACTTCATCATCCTGTCTTGTGTTCGTGCCAATGAGCACCAGGGCATTGGCTTTCTGAATGACCCACGTCGTCTCAACGTGGCACTGACCAGAGCCAAGTAAAAACCTCAGTATAACTGTTCAGTGGATGCAATTCATAGTCTTGTTGCAGCTGTATGTATGTGTGTATAATCAGACCACTGGAATTTGCCAGAATAATTTGGAAGATGTTATTATTAGGAAAAATTCTACACAGTGATTGCAATACAAAATTTCCACCCCATCCCTGAGCAGCAGTCTTGTGTGTGTTGTGAATGTAGGTATGGTGTGATCATTGTGGGGAACCCCAAGGCCCTCTCCAAGCAGCCGCTGTGGAACAACCTGCTGAACAACTACAAGGAGCAGAAAGTCCTGGTGGAGGGACCCCTCAACAACCTGAGGGAGAGCCTCATGCAGTTCAGCAAGCCCCGCAAACTGGTCAACACCATCAACCCTGTGAGTTGAACAAACTACTGTATATTAAGCCACAGTGTTACTTTAAAGACTTTGTTAGACTTCTGTTACAAACACCTGTTCACACATATCTAAACTAAAAGTCTTGACTCTGCAGATTTGAACAGTTAGTAGATTAATGTTGATTATGGTTATTGATTTCTAATAATAAAAGTGCCAAAAATTGCCAAATTAACTGTTTTCTTTTTCACAAATGTGAATATTATACTTGGATAGTAAATTGAATATCTTAGTGTTTCAGATAAAATGTTTTTAGACCAAATGGTTAATTGTAAAACAGAACAGGCAGATTAATCATTAGTGAAGATAATAGTTAGTAGTAGTAAGTATCCAACTGTGTGAAATTGTCTGTTTTTGACCAAGGGGGGCCGTTTTATGAGCACTGCCATGTACGATGCCCGTGAGGCCCTCATCCCTGGCTCCGCCTACGACCGCAGCAATGCTGGTATTTATTTTAATATATATTCAGTATCTTATGATATGACTTAAGATAATAACCTATGACAAACAGGCTCCATCACAGTCCTGCAAAACGAGGCCTGCCTTGTCTTGTTTGGTTTGACATGAACCTTGTTCTGTGTGTTTTCTTTCAGCCGGACGTCCGTCCAACATGTACTTTCAAACTCATGACCAGATCGGGATGATTGGGGCGGGCCCCGGTCACATGGCCGCTATGAATATTCCCATACCCTTCAACCTGGTGATGCCGCCAATGCCTCCGCCCAGTTACCTGGGTCAGACCAATGGCCCTGCTGCAGGTACAGTACAACACTAAGAAAGTTCTCTGAGCCATTACATAAACCGAAAACGGGCAAAGTTGGAGGGAAAAAGTAATCCGATCATGCTACAGGAGAATACCCCATAATGCAAGGTTGACTGGGGTGTTGACACCTGATAACCAGCAGTTTTGTAATTAAAGCAACTGAGGTCTAACTACAATCTGGACTAATGTTACTTCTTCATGTAGCGTTATATGCTTATCACTTACTGCGGTTCTTCTCCCATCTAGTGTGAATAACACATTACAACCTAGGAACAATGTTTGCTCACCATGTTTATTTTGACTCTTGATCTTTTTCATTAAGGTCGTGGAGCTATGAAGGGTAAGCCCGGGCGCGGCGGGCGGCAGAGGGTCCGCGGCTCAGGAAACCAGGGTTCCAGTCAGGGTAACGGGCCAAACAGCCAGGTCAGCCAGGATGGGGCATCCCAGTCCTTCTCCCAGGGCCCACTGACACAGGGCTACATCTCCATGAGCCAGCCCTCTCAGATGAGCCAGCCTGGCCTCTCCCAGCCGGAACTGTCCCAGGTAATACATCTTTTTGAGGAGTATGTTGTATGAGGGTTATTTGTCACATGGTTCATCATTTTTAATTGAGCAAATTCAGCTAGACATGTCAGAGGAATATAAAATAGGTTCTGCATACAGCTCACTGATCCAAATATGTGTCTCTAATGATGTTTCTGTCCTCCTGTTTTCCAGGACAGCTACCTGGGCGATGAGTTCAAGTCCCAAATCGATGTGGCTTTGTCCCAGGACTCAACTTACCAGGGTGAACGTGCATACCAGCATGGTGGGGTAACTGGACTGTCACAGTACTAGATTGTAAGTACATAAAACATGCTCTTAGTAGTTATAATATAGCACATTAAAAGGTTTTGGAAGTTGTGCAGTTATCGTGTTTCCTCACTAAAACGAATGTGTCGCTTTGTCTGTTGACTGATTGTGTGCAGGGCCACATAGTGTATATATAATAGTTTATTATTATTTTATAGACCTAACCTTATGAGACATTTGGATGTGTCCACCCTTTTGAGAATTCACACATTAGCAGTTTTCTTTCTTTTTCAGCCCTGGCAAAATGATATTGTGGCTGTTACTGTGTTGTGATGTATGTTACCTAGAGTTTGTGAGGTCTTTGTCCTGCAACTAATGTCAGATCCACTCTTTTACAAATGTGTCTATGAAGTAATTCTGAGATTCAGGAATGTTTAGCAGGATGACTTTGCGGGCTTATTCAGTCGGAGAAATGTGACTCAGTCAAAAGCCAGTATTGTTCACCTCTTTGGGTGAAAAAAATAGTTATTTGTTAAATCATCTTCATGTTGTGGAGGTTATAAACCTGCTTTGTATCTTGCAGGTCACTTGAAGAAGGGAGCTAGGCTTGAGCTGAGCTTAGTTCATCAGCTTTTTAATCTGGGAAATAATAAAAACATAAAATGGATACCTGTTTTCCTCTGCTACAACCGAAGCACCACTGAGTGAAAGCGACGGGATAGCGAAACCAAACCAATGACCAGCGAGAGAGATAAGAGGGTAGAAGAAGACGAGAGCACGAACAGACGGGCAGGGAAGATGGCAAGAGAGGCCGAGTGAACAAGCAAGAGGCAGGGACCGATGTCCGTGCTAAGTGAAGGAGGGAAGTCGAGAAAATGGCGGCGTGTGGTCGAGCTGCTGAGGGAAACAGAGGGGAGATCTCACTGGTCTCATGGGAATCCAAATGAGGCTCAACTCCCAATAAAACTATCCAGCCAACCCCTTCAACCTACGGCCTCCAGGAAAGGAAGGAAAGCTATGTTATCTTCAGGTGGGGATCGAAGCTTTCCAACTGAATTTGAAGAACTTGTTCTCCAAACATGCAGGGGGGGGGGCATGATTACAGAAAGCCATTGAACAGGCAACAAAAAAAAAATCCCCACGCTAAAAGTCGGTTGGTTCCTCGACCTGTTTCTCTTAAATTTGGTTCATCATGGGAGGAGAGCGGCACCAACAATCTTCTATTGGGCCCAACAACCTCAGCAGCCTCTGAAGGAAGCGGCAGTCGACACACCCACTCGGAAGAGGAAATAAAAACACGGTTTCTGTGCTTGAGTCTGAGATTAAAGAGCCTTGAATTGAAATACCTTTGATTTGCCTTGAGAACCACTGGCTCACTCACAAGGTCTTTAATGGGGTGGTTTCGACCACACGTCAGTGGTGGAGTGGCACAGGGATTTCAGACTGTTTTTTCAAGGCATGACGCGCGAATCCCAACGATATCGCGACCATCATGGGACAGTTTTTCTTCTCTGAAGTACCTTTCTTATCACAGAGCACAAAATTGCAAAAAAGTCATCGAAACTATCAAACATGACCAGCATTGAATATTCAACTCAATGTCATTTGATGTTTCAGCGAAGGCTTTTCCTTATTTTAATCTTTTGGAAGCAGGGGTGGTGTACCACTGCGCTTCATGACCAGATGTCTTTTTTAAAACACTCTGTGTACGCTTAGATTGGCAAATGCTTGAATGCTTTGCATCGATTGATTCCTCAGGGGATTGTGGACTGTCCACACTCATCACACAAATCCCTGCTTGAGGTGAAAGAAACCAAACAAGAAGGATGATGGTAGTCGAGGCTTATAGGCGGTCGTGGCAATCAATCCACCACAGGTAAGGAGTAGAAAAGGAAGGTGGCTGAGGGAGAGAAGGATATGAGAGTTTCCACATCTGGAAGATTAATTCAGGCCATCGCCAGGGTTAAAAATTTAGAGGGAAATGTTTGGCATTAGGACTGCTCAGTCCCAATGGATGACCACACATTAGATGTAGTTGTAAACGTCATTTTGATTTTGTGAATAGTATTCACATAACAAGCAATATAGCTGTTCTGATGGCCATATTGCCCAGCCCACAAGTCTAAAGATAATTAGGGTAAGAATTTCATAAAGGAAATATATCTAAAATTTCAGTTGAAAGGTCTTTACCTTCTGTTTATTAAAACATTTTACCAAACCCCTGTTACACAAAGTGGAAATGCCGTCAGTACTGATTAGATGGCAAAGAGATGAACGAGAAACGTGAATCAGTGCCTATAACCAATCACCTTCAGATAAACAGCTGCAGCACAAGCATGAATGTAGTTAAAATCAAACTACCAGCATAATGATAATAATAAAAAAAAAAACTTCCACACACCAGAGGGCTCAAGAAACCCACAGAAAAGGACTTGTTGTTATTTTTTTAATAAAATCAGGCCAGGTAATGACGAGGTCGATGAGTTTAGCAGCTGGGTAGTTTTTCAAAGGGTGGGCAGATGAAAAAAAAGCCACCTTCCTTCTCTGTGGAGTAAAACAAACGAAGGCTGGTAGAATTTCTTTTTTCCTTCTGTGGACTTTTGATTTGTGCAAAGCTGTTTTTGCCTGCATTATGTATTCCTTGTAGAGTTCCTCTTGAGATTTATGTGGATCCTGAACCCTCTTCCTGGAGAACTTTGTGAACCTGAACCTTGAGTTGATCCAAACTTTGCTTTTTGTCGGATGATTCGCTGCTTTGTGTGTCATGTTTTGTTTAGTTGGGTGTTATTTAGCCATTTTGTGTAGTTTTACAAAAAAAAAATCTGTTTTTGTAGCAACTTGCTGACAACAGGAATGAGGCGGACGCCGTTTCCTTTCTTCATTAGTTTTGTATCTCCTCCTCAAACTGTCCGAGGGATTGTAGTTTTTTAACTCTTCCAGGAAAGATGCTTTCTGAACAGTTAAGAATGTACTTCACTGTTGTTTCTCACCTGCTTCTCATTTCAGCAGTCAAGTGACAATCATGTTGCGAGTAGATGTTGCCATGTTTGACTTAGAAAATGTTCTGTTTTGTTGACATTGAGCGAATCTGTCATTTTTTTCCAATGAATTAGTTTCACATATCAACCCGTTCCACTGAAGTCCTAACATGTTATAGCTTTAAGAACCTGCTGCCGTAATATTATTGTATTGCTTTGGTGTTTTTCCATCTTCTGAGCCACAATGAATTGCAACATGTGCAGTGATCATTGAATAAGTGATTCAGTTGTAGATTAGTTGTTAAAACATTTGCATCCAAACCTTTGATTCTCTACGTCAACAGGCAAAGATTAAATAAGTGAACTTAGAGAGCTCAATGTGATGTAAATACCTATTTGAGTCTTATTTGCAGTGAAGTTTCATCACAACATGGTGGTTTCCTTGTTAAACTGAATCAATAAAGGCTGTCGACTTGAGCGAATTTATGGTATGAATTCAGCACATCTTCAAATTTATTGCAGATGCTCACATATATGAAAATATTACAGGTATTGTACAGTAATAAAACTTGTAGTATATACATGGGTCTCAGCAGTTTTCATGCTGTAGCCTGTGCTGCCTTTTTCTTTTTCATCTGTTTTCTCTTCATCAGTTTCTTTTTCAGCTGTCCATGTTTCTGTCTCTGAATGCTCTCCTGGATTTTCTGTTTGAACAACTTCTTCTGGCCCTTGATCTTCTCCAGCTCGGCCTTCCTCTTAGCCTCCAGGTCTGGATCCTGAAACAGCAGTTTCAACGAATCAACAAAAGGCCATTTTAAATCATAAAAGCTGGTTCCAAAACTCATCTTAAATCAGAAACCTTTATCTAATTTTGGTTTGTAGAGAATATTTTTTGCCCCACACTGGCCCATGTTACAGATTATATTTGGAGTTGTTGGAATGGGTCAGTCTGAAAAGTCTCGTGAACAGGAACTTGATAGACTGAATTTCCATAATTTACACATCTTTAAGACAAACTTCAGGTAACTGTATTTTCCGGGTCCTGGATACAACGACGTGGAACTGATTGTTGGGAATAATT